CCCAAAATATTGGCCAGATGCACCAGTCCGTCCACTCATCAAATTACTTCACTTAACTTGAAGCTCAAATTATATGAGAAGCAATCTCTTCTGCTTATACCTGCCAAAGTTTTCATAATAAGATTTATTTTAAAAAAAAAGTTCTAATAATAAGATAATTTTTCTAAGTTTTCAGAATAATTTCACTAGGTAGGTATTGTTTTTGTACATGATGATTATTTGTACAAAAAAGAGAGTTCACCTTGAGGTGGAACTCTATGTAAACATGATGTTGAACTTTATTACAGAAAGAACAAACCCTATATATTTTATCATGTTTATAAGGTTCATCTGGATTACTTTTTAAAATATCACCGACTATTATCTCTATGAAAACTTTGCAAAGTCAGGTTTCTCTTTCTGATGGATGCAGTTTTTAACTTTTCAATCAAGAGTGGTGGGCCCCAGATAACATCTACTAGTGGTGTTCTATTTGAGAGGGAAAATGAGACTCTGGGACCAGCAACATATTTTGTGGCCAATACAAACAGGTGGGCAGTTAGTAATGTTGGACTTCCTACTGGAAGCATCAATCCCAAGTTCAAAGTCAATTCACAATCACAATTTGCAAACACGGACTCAGAGCTATTCCAAACAGCACGAATCTCTGCTTCATCATTGAGATACTATGGATTGGGGCTTGAGAATGGCAACTATACTGTGAATCTCCAATTTGCTGAATTGCAAATTGAAGATTCTACATGGAGAAGTGTTGGTAGGCGTGTTTTTGACATATATGTCCAGGTCTGTATTATATATCAAAATTGTTTTACTGACTGCTTTTCGACTGCTGCCTTTTAATCTTCTTTTTCCTTTCCCTTCATGGCACAAATGGGTGCTTATGACCCTAATTTAAATTATGATTGACAGAACTATCATGGCATCTATAGTTAAAATGACATGAACTAGATGACAAACATACATGAAATAATAACCTAACAATGTGTTTACTTATCAAAGTTAAATTTGTTCTTAGTATATATTTCAAATTTATATCCAAATCACCATTTGTTATGGTCCCTACTATGTGATATACTTATGGGTTTACTTACAGGGAAATAGGTTGGAAGACACCTTTTCAGAGTCCTATTTTGAGTATTAGAGTGGGCTTGTTAGAGGAACCCTTCAGTGTGCAAAGTTTAAGGACTTTAAAAAATTTGAAGAAAATATTGCTTGCCTCTTTTTGTTCCATACAATCAACAAATTCAGTTGGAAAAAAAGAAACCTTTAGCCCCACTTCATGATCTGAAGTCATCCAAACGTCTAAAAGAACTGACTCTCACACCCAAAAGAAACGATAAATGAGAACAGAGTTTCTTAAAGAGAAGTAAATTGTTAAACTGCATACAGAAAATTTGAAAACAAGTGAGTGATTATCGTGCTCCCCTCTTCTGTGTGACAATGTGCAAGGAGTTTGTATCCTTGGTAACTAGCACCATCCTAAATGATCCTTGCTATTCTGACCTGGCGGATGACAGGCACAAATTATTTTAGCTATGCTGTTCCCTTCAATCTTCCACTACGTCATTTATAAATCATGATATTGAGATTAACCCTTCAATGGAAAAATTCCCAGCTAATAGACATATTGTGTAATACCATAGTAAAAAATAATATGTAACATTTCTTTTAGTTGTAAGTTAAACCATTTTCTCCTTTTCTGATTTGTTTGAATTTTGAATTTCCTTCTCCAGGGAAGTCTTGCTTTAAAGGATTTTGACATACGCAAAGAGGCAGGTGGCTCTAAACGAGCTATTTCGAGGGAATTTAAGGCACAGGTGTCTGAAAATAACCTTGAAATCCATCTCTTTTGGGCTGGAAAAGGGACATGCTGCATACCTGAGCAAGGTGCATATGGACCTTCCATTTCAGCCATCAGTGCTACCCCAGGTAAGAAGCAAATCTTGTGCTCTCCATACGCTCTTGCACTAGATCCAATTACTGATTGATGAATTTTTATATAGATTTTCCACCTACTGTGAGTAACAATCCTCCTTCCATTGTAATGAGCAAAACTGGTATGATTGTGGGGATCATTGTTGGAGTAGCAGTTGTAGGCTTCATATGTATTTTGGCAGTTTTCTGCATTATTCAAAGAAGGAAAAAGTCACGTGCTAATGATGATGAAGGTAAGCAAAAAATCTTCTATGAGCATGCATTTTCAAGAACCAAAATATGTGGAGGGTATTTTTATCAAAACACTGCAATTAAAGTTTTTTTATGTTCTTAGAGAAAAAAATCCAATTAAAAATATGATCTATTTTTGGATTAAAGTATAGGAGCATTTTATCCTCCAAATTTTTCTTTCCATCATTTCCTAATGTTTTGTTTTATGAATGTCAATAAGAGCATTTTTTTTTCATGAGAAATCATTGTTCTAATATGTCAATAAAAAAGGGTTTCTTTTGTTTTAGAACAGTAGTATCAGAATCATATCATGGAGTTTCTCCTCCAATTAAGTCAACGGTTAATTATAATATGTATTATCAGTGGATAAATTACGTAAACAATTGGATCAATTGCTCTTCAATAAACTTCATTTGGTTTGTACTTGCAGAGCTCCTAGGTATAGATGCCAAACCATACACATTTAGTTTTGCTGAACTGAGAACTGCTACAGAAGATTTTAGTCCTGCTAATAAGCTTGGAGAGGGGGGTTTTGGACCTGTTTTTAAGGTAA